TTATAGCCAAACTTATGTTCAACAAATGATTTCTACGCTTATCAAGAGCTCTTTCATTAGACTCCCAAAAACCTTCAACTTTGCTCCTCTTGTTTTGTTATCATGTTGATCAAGTTCAACCGGTTGGATCAGGTTTTATAAAATTATTTTGTCATTCAGTGAGAAATTAATAATAAAATTATGTAACTTCTGTAGAGTGAAGGTTTTTTTATAAAGTAACTTAACTATATTGTAGTTATCAAATAATTTTTACTATTAATTTTAAAATAAAATATACATTATGGACCAACCATTATAAATAATTATTATATATCAGAATTTAATTGATCAGTTTTGAATCACTAATGATCTTGACTCATTTTCTATTCTGTATACCAATAATATTCACTCATTTTCTATTCTGTATACCAATAATATTCTTAATTCTTCTTCTTCATCTTCATTGGTCTCAAGATCCTCGGCCAAGTTCAAATATGAAGTAAGTATTCAACATCTGCGATATCTCCCTTGTTTGTACAAGTAAAACCACTAACGGCTCTTGTAGTTGAGGTTAACATATAAATAAAGGCATGCATGACTACAAACTAAACGAAAAAAGTTTAGATGAAACAAATGCATGATCACCATAGCATTGGTGAAGCGACCTCAGGGTAACAACAACAATAACTGAGTGCCTGATTCATATTCAAACATTCGGGTTCCCTTAATGCTATCTCCTCTCTTTCTTTTACAGGTATGTAAGAGTGTTCCATCCGTTCCTTCTCATTCCTCTATAGATACAATCATAACTTTTGTGTTCTCTATCACCTGCAAAAGAAAGATTTCAAGATACTAAAGAATGTAGAACATGTTCTTTTCATCCTCATTTCCAGCTACGTGCTCAAGTAACGTTGTTAACATTTCATATCATCACAATCTTCTTCTTTCTCTTCCAATTAGGGTTTTCGATGCCATTTTGACCTTTCCTATTACATACATGCTCTCCACTGCGACCAATGTCGTATCTCCTTCTATTGCAACAACGTATTGCTTCACTATATAATTCACCATGGCTGATTCCGGTTGATGATAACACAAAGACAGAGCAAAAATGATATAAACCGGTTCAGAAACATGACTCTCAAGTAAACCGGAAAATCCTAACAAATCAAAACTTATATATATAAAGTTTGGGTTTAGTACTTGTTTTAAATTTTAACTAAAAAAATATTTCTTACAAAACAAATATCTACAAACACTAAATCAAGCACGCACACAAACAATCTAATCGTGTACTTACAATTGATTTTTTATACGTTTGTAGATGGAGTGATGAAAAATGTCGTGATCATAGGAAACATAAATCATATTGAACTAATTCACTTCTCCAAAAAGAGCTTGATCACACTCCACAGTATAAGAAAAAAAAAAGGAACTTACAAAATAAACACACGTTATGTAGAACTCATATTCCAAAATAATTCAAAAAAAAGATAAAAAGTGATCTAAATTACATACATGCGGCATGAGCAGTGTTAATTATACGGATCAACTCTTAGTTCTGGCAACATGATCACTAAATTTAATTAAACTAAAACAATTTAAAAGCAAAGAGAAAGTTATATGAACAATTTTTAAAAATATCTAATTAAATACTACTATAGAGAGCAAATCTTTAATTAATCATAGAAGTGTCTATATGTATATAATAAACACATAATTTAAAAATAGTATGTAGGATGAAAATCACACGTCAATATATTTAAGAATAAAAGAACTTTGTGTCTTTTTTTGATTTTCATCCTTTTCTAAAACTACCCTTACAGATTTTAATTTTTTTTAATTTTAATTCAGAACAAAAATATATTTTAAATTTTAAAATATATGGTGGACAAATTATAATCATAATATAATTATTTAAATATTAGTACCATGACGAATTTACGAATATTAACTTTCTTAATTAAACAATTTCGAGATGAAATATTCACATCATTATTTGCAAATTTTAAGTCTTTATCAAATTTGTACAATTTTATGTTCACCAAAACAAAAAAAATCGTACAATTTTATCGTTATATTATTGCAAAATAAAATCGAAGTCAAATTTGTTAGAGATTTTGTTAAAGATTTTTTGTAAACTTTGATCTTTTGCGTAAGAATCATAGATATCGTATCCAATTAATTTAATCCAAAAAATTTCATAAAGTATATAATAGATTAAAGTTTAATGAAATATCACTTACTTATGAGATGAAATAATGACACATAACATATTGTGAAAAGATTTTTAAAATCCAATTGATGTGTTCGTCAAATAACTCCGGCCCCAATAATTTCACTTCTTACATATCCACAAACGTTTTAAATATTATATAAGCTAAATGACATATAACACAACATGTTTTATAATTCATAAATAAAAACATTCACATTTGTCATATGTACCTATGTTTCTAGTTATAAAATCCTTAATACAAATGATAAGGTTGCTACAAAATTAAACGAAACAAATAAAACCACTAAAGCAAGTACCACCACCTCCACCGCTAGAACATACCGTACCTTCAACCACCTCCACCACCACTGTATCCTCCACCACCTTGAGAACAATCTCTCGCCATATGACTTGATTCACTACACCTAAAGCAAGTACCATCACCACCACCTCCTCTACCACCATATTCTCCTCAATAATTTCCACCACCACGTCCTCACCTCCACAGCCAGAACCACCACGTCCACCAGATGAACCGCCATTATTTCACTGAACAGGAGCACCCTCGGGTCCAGAAACTTCAACAGCCTTCACACGAATGGCGTTGTCAACCTCAACCTTGAACTCAACAGATTCATCAACGGCAAGGCTACGAAATTTCTCAGATCTAATGGACTGGTGAACGAAGAGATCGTCACCACTCACCACCGTCGTCTGGTGTGATGAAACCAAACCCCTTGTGTGTATTCAACAACTTCACCGATCCCTTGCGTCTCTCTCCTTCACTCATATTTTCATCACCGCCGCTATTCGGATCAAAGCCTCTGACGACCAAAAATCACTGATCAGCTATTTTTCCTATCTCTCATAATAAAATATATAAATTAAAGTCAAAATAGGTGAATGGCAATAAATTAACAAAAGAATATAAAATTACATGTTCATAGCATATTCAATCCTTTAGTCACCTAAAACTGAAATTAAAAAAATATATTTGAATCTAAAATTTTAAAAAATAATACAACAAACAATCTAGCAAATATAAAAGAGGTTAGATGAAAGCCTAACTCCTATAAAGATGGGATTGAACTTTTTGATCCACGACGAAAACATTTTACCATAAAATACACAAATTAACTCCCACGTCAGTTGTAATCTTCTCTCCATCGATTCAAGTATTAATTTCCACACACCCAAATTATGATTGAACGTAAAAATCATATGTGGAGATTGCAGCATCTTCACTAATCAAAACTAAAACAATCAAACCCTAAAGTTTTCTCTCACGATTACAAGGATTCAAAGTGATAGAATTGCTTAAAAGCCCAGTATCTATTTAACAATTTTATCACGATAGACATACCTATGCAATCTCGACCGATCTCGTTTTAGAGAACTCTGTTTTTCCCGAGCTTAAAAATAGACTCAATATGTTTTAGAAAGCAAATTAATGTTAGAGTTTCTAAAAAACAAAAAAGAAAAGCATATAAATAATTCATAACAAAATACAAATATATCTCCTATATATTAATAGAGAAACATTTTAAAAAAAAAAAACTTACCATCATGTGTTATTAACAAGATTGCCACGCTGATGTGTCGCTCTCACAACGATTTGGCTTCTATTTAGATAATTACCCAAGATTTATTAGACTATTTACAGAATTTGCCATTAGTCTTATACATCCATATATCCCATTAATAATTAAAAACATACACTTTTTGTTTATCTTATATTACTATATTTTTATATTTATATTTTTCTTTATATACATTTATATAAATTTTCTTTAGCGGATGGATAAACAATCTTTTTATTTATATTTATGTTTATATTTAAATGATAAAATATATACATTTGGTTCAAGAATCTCGAATTCAAAACTACAAAATCCTTACATTTTTCATAAATTTTTTACTTAAATAAATAAGATAATCTCCTTTCTATATATGTTACGAATACTTAAAATCCTATTTTTTGGAGGAGTTCTAACTTTTCGAAGAAAAACATCATAACCACATTTGTATATAAACCAAAATCTGGCTACATTATAACCATTTCGTAAATAATTCATTCATAATCTAAGAATCTTAGATTTGGAACACTACAAAATCTTAGCTTGGAAACTATCAAATCTCATCTTTACTAAATTTTGGATTTCTTATACTTATTAAAAAAAAAAATCTTTTTATACTACAAAATCTCGAAATCTTTAAAACATACGGAAAGACATATTGCCATAAATGGTAACATTTCGTCAATACTTTTTTATCACGTTGAAGCTTTATTCAAGGTTCAAATATTTCACGGGTAAAACATATTCTTATATGAAATAGTCCCAAATTTGAATAAAACAAAAAAAATTTGTTACATATTTCGTTTTACACAAACGGATCTTGGATCCCGGATAATAATTTTACTTGAATCACTTCATCCCGCACGATGTGCGGGTTGTTATCTAGTATAGTTAGATTAGAGATTACCTTCTCGTAGACATCTAATCAAAAAAAAAAAAAACTATTGTATTATCTTAATTACGAATATTCACTTCGTTATATGGAATTTATCTTCAAGATTTAAAAATTCTGAAAAGCTAAAATTCCATATTCTCTAAAATACGACAGGTTTGGACCATGATACCCTCAACGATTACACTATTTAAAAATAGAATCAGAATTCAAAGAGTATTCATTAAGGATAATTAAAAGAAATCATTTCAACTTTTAATCAGAGACCTCTTTTGTCCCAACTTTGAATATGGTGTGTTTATACTTATAAAATAATTATATAGAGATACAACGTGTATATATATATATATAGAAACTAAACGTCAAAACAAAGATATATCACAAAAGTTATATGGACCTGACTATACACGTGTTACCCTCTATTTAGTAGAACTCGTGATCGGGAAAAATGAGCGGTGCAATGAGTGTCCATATGTAGAGTCCGGTCGTGACCCAACCGGTGCATATCTTGACCTAGACCGAGGTCCATCCCACATCAATCAGAGTCGCATTCTTTGATGAGTCAGTCCATCCCGAGAGAAGCATTGCACCATACATGCTCGCAAGCGCACAGATGATATGGAAGAAGGAGTATGAGTAACTCACAGGTCGTGCCTCGGCTTCACCACTCGTCTTCTTCTCGTCCTCGGGGTCTTCTAACAATGCCTCCTTTACACCTGCAAATAACTTTTTCAACGAAAAAGAAGAAACAAAAATCTGAGTATACCATAGACATGTGCACTGATGTAGCCATTAGAAGCATTAACAGCACCACATTCAGTACCTGGACTTGTTAAATTTCATTCAAACAAATATACGTATCAGTGAGCATATATGTTGTGGTTCCACAAAAATCAGAGAAAATGAAGAAAATGAAGAAAATAACATAAAATTAGTGATTTTTCTACTCACTTTTACGTCACCGTCGTCAGAGGGCTCTTCTTTGTAAACAGAAGATGCGACGTCGACTAATAATGAAACTACCAACAAATTTGTAAACCGTGAACGAAGATTATATAACACATGGCAGACGCAGTCATATAATCAAAAATATAAGTTAATGTTCTTTACCTGAGATTTCATGGAAGGGAAGACACTCCAATCTTGGGTTTCATCTACTGCTTATGCTTTTGTTATTAACGCCTGCAATAGTGACAACAAAAAAGTGTGTTGATACGAATTTAAATAATTAATTGCCAATACAAGAAAATAATAAAGGAAAAAGAGACTATATAATTACAAAGATATGCGATAAGAATAAATTTAAGAGTAACACGTCCATCAGGTGAGACCGCGTGGTACATAACGTGGAAAGTGTCACCAGTGAGTTTTGACAATTGCAAAAGCAAAATTTATCATTATAATCCAATAACTCGGTAACAAAGAAGATAAACTAAATTTCTACATAACAGAAAGATCAAAAACTAAATCATGACTACTAATAATACCACCTATGGGACTAAAAGTTTTTGATCATAACCAATTATTTTGTAATATAGTTCATCAAAACTAAAGAAGACAGTATGCAAAAATTATTACCGTTGCTCCAGAGCTAGATGCATCATTCGGTACACGTTCTTCATCCAGAAATCGGGAAGGGATGTCTTTCTCTGAAGAAAGTACGGTTTTTGTCAGGTTAATTGAAAACAAAGGCAACGAATATAAAAGGGCTCATAATTATCAAGATTGATGGTAGTAGAGATTTAACCTTGCAAAAAGGGCACGGGGACCTCTCCTCCAACAGTCATGACGTTTTCATTCAAATCTATAGTGCACTACACACAGAGCCGTCCTTAGAAAATAGGTGGCGGAAGCCAAAAATTTTTTTGGACATACTAATTACTAATTTATCAAAAAAAAATGAAAAAACTTTAAAACGTTCTTAGTGGGAATCGAACCAGAAATCTCTTCTCTTGTAATAGCTCACATTTACCAGTAGGGCTGATGAATATTTGTTGCAAATGGCGGCCGTTTCTTTTAATAAACTCTTGGGCGGTCGCAAGCTGGTGCTTGGCTCGCTTGTAGCCGTGGCCGGCTCTGACTACACATAGCAAGAAAGATAGTAACGGCTTTGCATTGGTTGAAACAGATGCAATAAATTTAAAATCAATTATAGAGATAGTACCTGATGCTTACGCAACATATCCATGCCAAATAGAAATTCCATGTTAGGTGAGTCCAGCACCACGAATGAACACGGGTAAAAGTTATTCCCAATCTGCAAGGTTCGAGATTTTCAGTTTCTTATGCAAAGAAGAAGGAAATAGGAAAAAAAAGAGGGGGAAAAAAGATTGGCGGTGTTCACCTTGATAAGAGCAACATGAATGCGGCCCAATATCTCTGACTGGCCAACATCATGGGCAATACCTTTATAGCGTTGATCCATAAGTCTCAGCAATCTGAAAGTAAGTATTCATCAAGACTCATGAGTTATTCCATCGTATTTGGATATGGAGCCATGGAGGTCAATGGCGTACCTTTGAAGGTAAAAACAACATATCATTATCGTAATTAATATTACACATTTACTATAGCCTATAGGCAATTAGGCATGGACCGTCCTTTTTTTTTTTTTTTTTTTTTTTTTTTCATGGACCGTCCTTCTTGTCCACGTATTCAAAACTATTTGACAATTTAATTAAAAAATCAATATTAAACAATAAAACGCAATAAAATCGCATATAAAAATATATAAGATAACAGGAAGAAACACAAAAATTTAAATAGGTAAATAAATGTAAAATATACAAACCAAATCTATAGAAGTACCTTTCCAAACCTCGTTCTTTGCTCGTCAACACCACCTTCGTCGGAGAGCTTTGTCGATGGAACCTCCCACGTTATACAAAACTAAAACACACACCAAAAAACCAAATCAACAAAACAATAAATCAACGAACTAATGCAAAAATAAAACAAACAACACAAACAATATGCACACGACCTCTAAAGGTAAATAAAAACAATATTTGCATGACAAACAATTTGATTCATCAGAATCGTAGCTGTATAACAAAACCATAACGATGAAAACTATCTAATGGGCACAGAAAAATAATACCTAATTCTCTGGCCGATCAACAATATATATAGCTTTAAGATTAGGGCAAACATCAATCATTATCTTAAGAAATTTAACTTTTATAATTAGAAACTAAATCAGAAAACTAACAAAAACGAATATTAACTACTAAGATATAGATTATATCCAAAATATTAACAAATCAATTTAACTTTTTAATTAGAAACAAAATCAGAAAACTAACAAAAACGAATTTTAACTACTAAGATATAGAATTATCTAAAAAATTAACAAATAAATTTAAGCTAAGATTCCATAATCATTAAAGTCGAGACATTATGACATCCGTATCCCCAACGATTACACTATAAAATAAAAAAATTTAAGGGTGATTAAGACTAATCATCTCAAAACACGATTAGACTTATATACCCTTAACAATTAAGAACAAAGATTTTCGAATTGAGGGTGTTTAGGACATTATTATAGAGATCAACACACGATTAGACTTATATACCCCTAATTACGAAGAAGGAGAAATTTCGAGAAGAACAATTCATTAAGGGTGTTTAGGACAAATCATTCTAACTTTTAACCACAGGCCTCCAATGCCCTAACTTTCAATATGGTGCGTTTCTACTTCTCAAATAATTATTGTAGAGATATATATATATATATATATATATATCTTTCTAGTCTTTTTAAAAGGAAGATGGGCCAAAAATGTGTAAAGCCCTATACATGCTATCTGGGTCGGACTGGGCCCATTACAACTTGGTCTATTTATCCTATAGGAACAAAAAAGAAAAGAGAGATACAGAAATCCCTAGATCGAAAGAAAGAAGATGGCGGATACTCTGCGGCGGATGTTGGAAAGCGGAAAGCTAACGGACGAACAATGCCAATGGCAATAGATTTGGATGAAGAGATGGGTGGATGCACATCTGAGGTATTACTTTTGGCCCATGGCGATTGTAATTTGTATTTGATGATCCGATTAGGTTTAGGTATTAGATTTCCCAAACCAACTCTCCTTGCTGTATCATCATCAGATCACCCCTGTCGATAGTAGAAAAAGGAAAAAGATAGCGATTCAAGGAACAAATGAGGAAGAAGAAGTCGACAACCGGAAATCTCTGCCGCAGTTGTTGGACATGCGGAAGCTACCTAATGAAGAAAAGAAACGTATTTTTTACCAATATGAAGAACTAGGGGTTGAAGAAGACATGGATTACATTAGGCAAATCGCATATACTCAGGTAACCCCTAATATTTTTATTTTTATTTGGCTCCCCCATAGATTCTATTGTAATTTTGTTATTTTTTTATTGGGTTTAGGGTTTCGATTTCAAGCCTGACGTTTGTATCCCACGTCTTGAAGGATACTCACCATTTTATTTTGGCGAAAACGAAGAACAACCACCTACCGAAATGGTTCTCTACGGCCGTTTGGGAGTTCATTGGTTCAACTTTGAGCAGAAAAGGAAGTTGAAGTTCATACGCATACCAAAATTGAATACCGAACATCCCTTTTCTGTTTCTTACTTTATTACTGTCGAGGTTAAAGATGATGATGCTGCTGCTGCTGATTCTCTCACTTTGCAAACTCTGGTCAGGAGACCTTCCTTTCCCGAGTTGAAACTCTTGATGGAACGCTGCAGAATCAAACCAGGTTTTCTTTCTTTATATTTTATTTAGCCTACCAATTGAACAAAGAAAGAAAAGAGATTTGGTTTTCTAGCAGCTACTCACGAGTCACAACTTTTTGTTTGTTTCTCTCTTTCTTTTGTAGCGGAAATATCAGACCACTCGTTTAACTGCTTCTATCAGTCTTTCCGAGGATGTATGCCTACCTTTTTGTCGGAACTACCAGAAGAAGCTGATGATGATGATGATGGTGTTAGATTCTACGAGGTTCAGACCAAGGACATTGATAATAATGATTGGCTTCGTCTCTATACCGAGTTTGCACTTTTCCAAGTTTGCGAGGCTGGATCTCATTCTTTCCTGCCACAGCAGATAAAGATAAAGAAGATACTTGTGGAAACCCGAGAACCTCATACTGATCCGTCTCTCAAGCTCGACTCTATGAATGCTATCTTCCACATAAGCTTCAGGGCCAACAGTTGCGACTACACATCGGTAGTAAGGAGATCTACCGATGGGATTTCAGGACATATGTTCCTCGAAGTTGAAAATTTCTCTCCACAAGTTCCTTCATGAGAGGATCAAAGTTGGTGGTAAACCCGGTGCACTCTGTGAGAAGAACAAGATCACTGTCACTTCTGATGGTTTATGTCGTTTAGCTATCCACCTCAACTATATCTATGCTCTTGTATTTGTCTTCTATCCTATCAAACAGCTTGGTTGAAAAAACCATTACTTCAACATTTTGTTTGTGTGTGTTTCTGTTGACGATATTCTTGTGTTTTAAATTTGTCTTTTATCATTTTCCTACGTGTTGCTACTCTAATCAAACTTTGCCGTTTGTTCTCTTTTCGTTGGAATCTTTGAAACACAGAGAAGATAATCTAATCATGTTCATAACAATGCACCAGACTCTCTCTAGGAAACTTAACTACTGGTTTGGAAACCTTTTCTATATTTTCAAAGCAAATTCTTATTAGAGTACAGCTTAGATTTTAATTTTCCGGTTAGTATATGCTACAACTGTTCTCCTTGTGTTCTTTCAGCTTTGATCTATCCCTACCTATCCACTGATCACAGCCCGAAAGTGGTAAATAGTTCAGCTGCTGCAAAAGATAAGCTAATCCATTTGCCTTTTGAGAAGAAGTCGCTGTATTGGAAGGCATGTGAGTCGATGGAAGGTTACAAATCCGTGCCACAACGACCTCACTTCAACCTACCGACGATACCCGAGAGCGGTCGGCTATTGGCATGATGGCGAGCTATTACGCGTTGCTAGACCAAGTCAGAGACGTGAAGCTCGATGACTCTACTACCAAACTCAACGAGCTGATCAGTGTCTCCTTTGCTAAACTAGAAAAGTATGTCTTTCGACACTGCAGCTCCTCAATCACGGATTGACAAATTGTTGTCTTTAAACAGACGTGCGAGCAAAGAAAGCTGAAGAACAGAAATGTTTCGAGGATAAGATTGAAGAGGCAGAGAGCGGAAGTCTCAAGTTAGACAAAGAAAGAGCTGGAATAGAAAAAGAAAGAGCTGAGTTGTAACGTAGGTTTCTTGAGCTACAGAGACGAGATGAGGTTGCGAAAAAGACGAACGAATACTTTGATAAAAAGATTGTTGAAATGAAAGCAAGTGTAGGAGTGATTGAACAAGAGACTGAAGAAGTGACTGAAGCTCAAAGAATTTTGTCTGCTCCATGGTAATTAGCTAAAGAAGTAAACCAAACCTGTTGAGATTTATGCAATCTCTCCAGCCTCAAGCTTTCTCCCTGCAAGTCATCACCATCTATATACTGAACCAAGCAAGCTTCCATTCGGAGAGGATAAAGGGAAAGAAGGAGAACACTATTCATTTGTTGACCCGGTCATGGGCCACTACATCCGGTTGGGATCTTTCGAACCCTAACTTCATTATCAAGAGATGATACATATGAGAAGAGATTCACACTCAAGAAATCACTCTTCTCTCACCAAGAAAACCTACCCGAAGCTTATATGCTTCTTACATGTTTTCTACATCTCTACTTGCCCCATTTTGTCTCACACACTCTCTCACAATGGCTGGGAGCAACAGCTCCCCTTAGGAGGCAAAACGCCTCTCACTTGTGTGCTACGGATCCGCTGGAGTTAAGGCCTCCTCTTAGTCTCTCACATCCGCTGGAGACTTGTCTTGGAAGAGCCAAGGAACATTCTCCTCTATGTTAGCATCAATGCTTCTTGGAGCCAAGGAACATTCTCCTCCTATTGTTGAAACACTCTCTTTGACTTAGAATGCAAAAACATAATAAACTCTTCTCAAGTTAGATCATATTCCAACAATCTCCACCATGAGCTAATCTTGAAATCTCCTTGTGAATTGCCCCTTTAGAGCCTTTGACATATGGCTCTAGACTTGCCACCTTGATCCTCCTTTGAACCTGCATATGTATGAACATACACACACAACACCTTAGTGGAATAATAATAATAATCCACAACACCATCAATAACCCAACAGAACGTTTGATTTGCTCCAAACGTGTAATATACTTGTCTTCTCCTTGAGTTGCATAACCAGCCCATAAAATCCATATGACCAAGCCAACTTATCATTGATCCTCTTGTATTGAACTTACATTCAACACGCTTCCGCTGTGATACTTCACACGGTCAAACGATCCTGAGATGACTAGCAACCCATAAGTTCCACCACTTATGAACCATCCAATCACACATTCTCCACCATGGCTTCTGTAAAAACCCCAAGAACGTCTTCAGTGATTGAAGAACCATATAACCCTCTGCAAAAAACGTGATTCCCTTGCTATAGCTCCTATGATTTACTCATGTGCACTGAGATCAAAATCCTCTGAATTTCCTTGAATCAATTGCAGAAAACTGATTAATCAACTTAGCCTCAAACTTGAAGCTCTTCAATTCACTATGTCGTCAATCTCTCCAATAGCTTAGACCATTTTAGAATTGCCCTCTACACACCATGTTTAATAAAACATACCTTGGACACAACCCTTGTCCAATCCTTCTTTAACCACAAAACTTATCACCAACAGATGTTAATCACTTCCGGCGATCTTTATCTTGTCTCATACCAACAGAACCTTGTGATACCCTTGAGCCACGTCCTCAAATCCCCTTACACATCAACTCTAGAACCCTTGACGTCACTCTTAGCTGTAGACACACCTGCAAAACCCGCAGAAACTCCACCAAACAACTCGAACCATGCACCATTCAATATCAGACTTAAACCGAAGTCTCTTCTTCTTAATCATCACATGATACTTGAAGACTCTTCTCTTGAACGTCCATAATGTGTTATTTCCTTGAGAGCATACTTACACAAACTCCCCTTTGGTGTAGACAAACGACCTCAAGACATCTTAGTTGTTATCCTCCAAATGCATCTTCGATTTCTATGCATTTTCGCCCTTTCTAGGACCCTACATTTCCAGAAGCTAACCACTAGCTTAATGTGTTGTGTATCAAGCTAGATACACACCATTCTCGCATCACTAGCACTTGTCCCCCTTTCGTTTCTTCCTTCTGAGAATCCCTCTGCAATATCAACAAACTTCAACCAAAAAATGTAAGAGTCTTCTTACCCTTGGATCTTGAACGTGTTGATTTGCACCATTCTTGACTTCCCTTTCTTTTTAGTAAACAGGACATGTACCCACAGTGGCTTCTGTAGCTTTCCATCTCTTCGTTTGAACTCAACCTCCACGGAAAAATGGCTCCACCAGAACCATAATAACCATTGGATGTTAATTCGTCTCTATAAGCTCAAAACACCTTTCTAAGTTCAGCCACTCTTCACTGTCACATTGCTCCACTGTTACCCAAAAGAACCACCAAGAACAATCCTTTAAAACCTCTGCAGCCTTGTCACCTCTACTTGGAGCCTTCTTCATGATCTAATGATGTAGCAACATTTTTTGACACATCATCAAACCATACCTCAATCTCATACTTCAAATCTTGTATTTTCCTCTAGCAAAACTACCATACACTTCCCTTGTACCGCTGTTCAAAAGAACAGAACACGCCGCCTAACACCCTTTGGCTAGGAAGACTTTCGACTCAAGTAAGTAGTACAGTTAATCGCTTACCATCAGATTCTCCTTCTTGTCACTTGAATAACTGATCAAAAACACAAGAAATACCCTCTGAGAAATCAATGCTCCACCCGAGATGAGATTCCTTGTTCCTTAAGTAACAAGTCACCACGTGTTATTACGAACCAGTGTTCTAAAAAGCGGTCTAGGCGGTCGCCTAGGCTCCGACTAGACGCTAGGCTCTTATGCGACGCCTAGATAACCGCCTTGACCGCCTAAAATTACACAGATCTTGTTTGATGTATTTTTCCAATTTTAATTAGAGTTTTATTTTTATATATAGTTATAAATATTCATATATTATTTAATATAAATATAAATAAATGTTTTATCTAATTTTTGTTTATAATTTCATAAGTTTTAGTTTTATATAGATATTTTATATAACTTTTATATATAATATCATATTTATAATATTTTATGTTATAAACGTCTAAACCGCCTAAAAATCGCCTAGGCCCCGATTAGACGTTCTAGGCGCTAGGCATTGGGTCACCGCCCGCTTAGCGCCTAGCGCTTTCTTGAACACTGTTACGAACACAAACTTGTACCGAACAAGAATCTCTGACGCTGCCACTACCTTGTCAAGAGAATTTGTTCTCAAGACAAGTAAATCCGCACACTGCCCAGCTTACTCCAAACAAAATGCTAACCAAAACCCCGCTGCATTCCCTCTGAAAATAGCAGCCTTGTAGCTTCGTCTGAAGACCCACTTCTGTAGATTCTCTCTTTCAAAAGATCAACCGCTACTCACGAAGATGGGCAGTGACGCAGTGATATCTTGTTATTATCCGCTACCCAAGAAGACCCACTTCGAGACATCTTGTTATTATCCGCTTATACTGATAACAACACTGATACAACAACAAGCTTCCACTGTTCCCGCACAAACTCTCGTTACAGAATAAACTTCCTTCTCGGAATTACCCAACTCTGATCTGCAAGACTGCAACTGTAGTTTGACACCATCTGCAACTGAAAACTTACCACACTGAAACTTGGCCAACTCTTTGTGGAAAAAACAGAATGTTGGCTTTGTGTCCCAACTAACTCTCAAACTCAATATCAATTTGCAGAACTTGGGAATCTTAAATTTCAAGACATCACACAAAATCTTGTGATAATCCCTATATGTAATATACATATAAGACTGGAATACTAAGGCCCATAATGCAACAAACTACGCCTTGGACTGTTATTCCTCTTGGGCCGCTTCTTGTTTTATTTTCCAGCCCAATAAGACTTTTCACCTTTTTTGTTGACACTTCAGAGCAAAACTCAAATCGAATACTAATTTTTCTTACATTGTGACTTAACGTCTCTTCTCAGTTCTCACCTTCGACAAAGAAAACCTAACTATTTAATCACTTTTCAGCTTTGGTTTTAGCATCTCCACAAGGTATGAACTTCAATCTCTATTTCAATGGTGGTTATTGGTGATTAATCCAAAATTTCTTGTCTCCATGCTTCATATTGTTGAAATCTTGCATGATTATGCTAGAATTACTGGATATGTGTTGGGTATTCGTTGGATGCCATGAATTTTGATTTCAAAAGAATATTTTGTGGAATTAACATGAGGTTAGGGACTGCGTTGACGAATTTTGGGGAATTTGGTCTTCATTGTCTCAACATTGTGCATTTGATCTCCTGTAACATGATGAAAGCACAATGCACAAATTCCACAAATCTCTAACTTGCACCTTCTTGAATGTAGGTGAGAATGGGGAA